GACACCCAGCCAATGTAGTTTCATCCTGTCACGCCTTAGAAATCCAGAGGCCATTAAAAAATAATTTTTAAAAAGGGAATAGCTGGCTCACTCCTTCCTGGACATGCTGAGGATATCTCTTTGAAGACACAAAAAGACCTACTCAATAACATTCCAATAGGAAGCCCAGCAAAGATGGCCGTCAGTGGCCTTAACAAGGCCTCTAACTCCAGCCATGTAACCCAGTTGTGCTTTTCATCCTCAGCCACTACTCAGGAAGAAGCCTCCCACATTTTCCTACCCACCCTTCCTTTGTATTCTCCTACTCTTTGCTGTAGCTAAACCCAGGTTCTTCCCAATACAGGATTCTGAGGACTTTGCCCCTAACATTTCGTTCCAGGAGACTCCAAGTGGAGCCAGTTTTATCTATTCCCACTGCCACTTTCATACTATGACATACTTCAGCCCCTGGACTTTATCAATCATTCTAAAACTTCATTGTACCTTCATACAGGTCAAACTTCATACCAATTAGATTAGAATCTCTTGACAAGGGACTCAAATATCCAGGAAAGTCTGATATGCAGATAAGTTTGAATACCAGAGACTTCTATCTTCAACTGTTCAAACTGTGGTCTATGGACCAATAATTTCATCATCACAATCATTAGAAATGTAGAATCTGGGGCAGCTGGGTTGGCTCAGCGGTTTAGTGCTGCCTTTAGTCCAGGGCATGATCCTGGAGACCTGGGATCAAGTCCCACATCGGGCTCCCTGTGTGAAGCCTGCTTCTCTCTCTGCCTCTCTGTCTCTCTGTGTGTGTGTATCTCTCATGAGTAAATTAAAAAAAAAGAAAAAGAAATTAAAAGAAAAGTAGAATGTTGGTCTCTCCATTCTAGATCCAATGAATCAAAATCTCCACTTTAACAAGGTCTACAAGCAATTCACAAGCACATTAAAATTTGCCTGTTCTACCCTCTACTCTTCCCTATTGTTTTCTTTACTGACCTCAGACAGTATCTGCTCATTTATTAAAAACTTTGAAAACTGGCCCCAGTAATCTGCTCCATACCAGTTTGTAGTAACTTCCGAAGTTGGTAATTGGCCCACCCAACTACTTAGTCTCACCTACCCCTACTCAGGCTTCACACATTATCCAAGGATGGACATCACCTAGAACATATCATTCCTGAAACTTTACAATAGTGGAGAGATGGGAGTCATCCTTTAACTGTCCTTTTCTCTCACCACCCTGTACCAGTACCTAATCAGTCACTAAGCCCTGGCAATTATACCAATACACATTTTTAGTTTAAACTGCTTCTCAAACCTCAGCAGTACTGAATCAGATCACTGAACCAATGACCTGTGAATATGCATTATTTATAAATTACCTAGCTGGTCTGAGCACTACACTTTGAGATACACTCAGATACTCTCAACTCTGTTCTTCAGGACTTTTATAAATCTCCCACCCAATCTTTCTATTTCTAAGCTCACTTCTTTTCAAGTCATTGAAAAACTTCTAACCAGAATGAATTAATTAAAAATCAATTTGACCAGAAAAGTCAAAAGTCAGTGTGACATAGGAGGCTCTCCATAGTTTGTCCTCTGACAACTACTCAAGACTCAATTCTCAGAGTCCAATCTCCACTCCAGCCAAGCATAACTACTTCCTTTTTTTTAAGATTTTATTTATTTATTCATGAGACACAGAGAGAGAGCGCGAGAGGCAGAGACACAAGCAGAGGGAGAAGCAGGCTCCATGCAGGGAGTCCAACGTGGGACTCGATCCCAGGTCTCCAGGATCAGACCCTGGGCTGAATGAAGGCGGTGCTAAACCGCTGAGCCACCGGGGCTGCCCAATTACCTGCTATATTCTTTACACATGATGGCACAACCAAATATATCATCAAATATAACAACCATACCATATATTTAAGGCTTTTTCCAATTTAATAAAGAATAATTTCCAAAGAGAAAAAGAAAAACTTAGTCTTGAGGAATTAACCTAGTCTACAGAAATAAGTAATACTTCTTGCATAATGAGTGACTATTAGATTTCAGATGCCTTACATAGATTACCTCTAATCCTTACAACAACTCTCTGAGATAAGTACTACTATTATGCCAATTTTACAGATAGGAGGCTAAAGGTCAGAGAATTTAAGAAACTTACTCATGTGACAGAGCTAGGTTTTGAACTTAGGGATGTTTTACTCTTAAGGGATTTCTACTACCATTCCTAGGATACTCAAACCCTTTTCCATCTCATTTGTCATATTTCTGCCTGATTGTATTATCTAAAAACTCAAATTTCTCATTAAAGATGTATGTGCATCCAGTTAAAGGCTCTTATTGTACTACAAGATTGAGATATGAACTTTTAACACATTATTCATTATGCATTCTAAAGATCAAAATAAAAGAGAAATAAAAAAACCTTATTATAAGGATAGCTTCAAGTTTTGTCTGATTTTCAAAAAGGTACTGTTAGTTTCGAAGTCTTCCAAAGCAAAGTTAAAAGTATCCCCTCCTGGATTCCTGCAGTGCCTTGTTCCAGTTTTATCATGTTGGACAGAAGACTGTGAGATCTGTCTCATCACTAGGCTGTAAGCCCTGGAGGGCTGAGGCTGTACTCCTATCTGCAGCTAATGTGTAATACAAGCTTGTTGGCCAAATAGAAGTAATAATGTATTAGACATCTCTTGCTGTAACTGTAAGAAGTACAAAGAAATTATTTCCCAGGCTTCTTCTCAGCCAAAAAAAAAAAAAAAAAGAAAGAAAGAAAAAAAAAGAAAAAGTCTCTCTTTAAATAGAATACAGGGGATCCCTGGGTGGCGCAGCGGTTTGGTGCCTGCCTTTGGCCCGGGGCGCGATCCTGGAGACCCGGGATCGAATCCCACGTCGGGCTCCCGGTGCATGGAGCCTGCTTCTCCCTCTGCCTATATCTCTGCCTCTCTCTCTCTCTCACTGTGTGCCTATCATAAATAAATAAAAAAAATAGAATACAGAAGTCCAATGTATAAAACAAAGAGAAGCAAAACTACTCTGTATGGATGAGCTGAGAAACTCAGACTTACCTACTCCACTCCCCATGCCTTGTTTGACAACTACCCAGCCAAAATATTGCAAACCAAGAAAGCGAAGTTCTAATTCTGATTCTACCAGTAATAAGTTGTGTTAATTCGGATGAGTCATTTATTGATCTGGCTAGGTCATTTTTATTATGTAAAATGAACAAAATAGACTAGCTTATTGAATGGCTTTGATGAGATCCCTGGGTGGCTCAGCAGTTTAGTGCCTGCCTTCGGCCCAGGGTATGGTCCTGGAGACCCGGGATCGAGTCCCGCATGGAGCCTGCTTCTCCTTCTGCCTGTGCCTCTGCCTCTCTCTCTCTCTCTCTGCATCTCTCATGAATGAATAAATTAATAAAATCTTTTTTAAAAAAATAAATGGCTTTGAAATTTTAGTGCTTATTGGAATCACTGTGAGAGTTCTTCAAATTGCAGATCCCTGTGCCATAGCTCTAGGGAATGTAATTTGTCAGGTCTACAATAATTCTGGTGTAGGTGGTCAGAGGACCACACATTGAGAAACTGTGGACTGGATGTTTTCTAAGGCCTCTTTCGTTGGGCTGTCACTGTTCTCAAACTTCTACTTACCCATACCACATGTCTTTTGGACTCTTCTAGTAGTTCATTTTCACCACATTTTTTCTCAAATCAGCATTATTAATAAACAAGCATCATAATGAACAGGGGTCCTAGGTCATCAAAAGGGAGCTTCATCCCGTAGTCCTGATTAGATAACTGCCAAACTAGCTAAATGTTAAATGCCAGGACTAAAAATAGGCTGTTACATGTTTAAAATAACACGATCACTAGTTAGCTTGGGGCTTTGCTATTTTTACTAAAGGAAAGGCAGAGACAAGTGGCCAGAAGTTGAAAGGGAATTACTTAAATGAAGAGGCTGCCAAATGAGGTGAGAGTCTTGAAAGAAGCCAGGAGGTGGCATAATTGGTTCAACATTCTTCAGAGGGGTCTCCGAATTAAACTAAAAATTTCAGTCTAAACTTTCAGGAAAACTTTCCAGACTCATTTTAGTTTTGATTTGTTGCATACTTACACCCAGAATTGTGACATTACCTCATGTCATAAATTAATATGGCTGGCCAAAAAGATCAAATTAAGAGAAGTTTCTCTATTTTTATTTTTTAACTTTTATTGAAGTATAGCATTTACGCAGAAAAGTATGCATATATGTACTGTAAAGCTTGATGGGTTTTCACAGACTTACTATACCCATGTAACCAGCATTCAGATAATGAAACAGAACACTAATGATACCCTAGAACTTCCTTTCATAACGCTTTCTAGTTAATAGCCCACTATGGTGATTTTCATCATAGTTTAGTTTTGCCTAGCTTTGTACTAAACATAAGTAATGCTAAATGTACTCTACTGTGTCTGACTCCTTATGTGCGATTTATCAATACTGTTGCATGTAACTGCACATTTTTGATTCTCACTGCTGTTTAGCACTCCCAACAAATGAAGGTACTACAGTTTATTAATCCATTCAACTGCTGATGGGCATTTGGATTATTTCTTGTTTAGGGCTATTATCTAAACCCTGCTATGAACATCCTAGCAAACATATTTTGATGAACATATGTACATATTTCAGTTGGATATACTCTTGGGAGTGAATTGCTGGGTCTCCTTGGCCTAGGGAAATGGAATAGCTGGGTCTCTTTCCACCTCAGTTAAATGTCTAGGGGCTCAGTGATATGAGAGATAAACTTCCTAAGGTAAAGAATAAGTTGTTGCATCTGGGTCCTCCTACAACCAAAAAAAAAAAAAAAAAGAGGTACAATGCCTAGTAAGCCTTTTTAGCTTTTAGAGTCAACATATTTTTCATTTAAGTGTACTACTCCAACCCATTTACTAAGAGCCTGAAAGCTACTGGTTTTGAGGGAGCCTCAGAATAAAAGAAGGTTTTACAATAGATCCAGGCTACTATGCAAGATGCTCTGCCACTTGTACCATAATATCTAGCAGATCCAATGGTGCCTGAAGGGTTAGTGAAACATGTTTGGATATTGTAGGTGAATCACAGCACAAGTCCTTAAGATTTTGGAGCAAATCTCTAGCATTTTCTGTTAATAACTACTTTCCTTTTTACAAAACAGCTTTTGGTCTGCTACTGGGCCTTAGTAGAGCCTGAATACTTAACCATGGGATGCCAAGTTACAATGAGAGCTGAGCTGCCCACCATGAATTATACATAGTCTGATATATCAAGCCACAAAGCTGGCTGTGCAGAACAGCACTGCATTGTCAGATAGAAATGGTATATATATGAAATTGAGCTCAAGCCCCAAAGGCACAGGTAAGTTAGATGAGGAAATGGCCCAAATGCCCATGGTTGCCACTGCTGTTATGCTATCTTCTGTCTCCCGGCCTGCACTTTTGGCATCATGGGGAGTTCTTCACAACCCGTTGATTGAGGAAAAAAACTCTCAGACTTGGTTACAGATGGTTCTGCATGATATGCAGACAACACCTAAAAGGGTCATCTATAGGACCTATATAGTTCCTTTCTGGGACATCCCTGAAGGAAATTGGTGAAGGTAAATCTTTCCAGTGGGTAGAACTTCAAGAAATACATCTCACTATTCACTCTGTTGGAAGGAGAAATAGCCAGATATATGGTTATATACTGATTAACAGATTATGGCCAATAGTTTGGCTGGATAGTTAGGGACCTAAAAGGGACATGCTTGGAAAACTGATGACAAGGAAATTTAGAGAAGTATGTGGATAGACCTCTCTTAATGGGCAAAAACATGAAGGTAGGTATATGTGTCCCCTATGAATACTACCAAAGGGTGATCTCAGCAGACAAAGACTTTAAGAATCATAAGATGAACCATTCTGTGGATACCAGTCAGCCTCTTTCTCCAGCCACCTCCATCATCACCCAATAAACTAAAAAACAAAGTGGCCATGGTGGCAGGGATGGTGGCTATGCATGAGCCCAGCAACTCACTAATATTAACTTGGCTATAGCCACTGATGAATATTCAATTGTTAGCAGCAGAGATTAACAATGAATCCACAGTATGGCACCATGGCACCATTCCCTGGAGTGATCAACCAGCTACTGGGTGGCAGGTTGATTACCTTGAACCATTTCCATCACGGAAGGCACAGCATTTTATTCTTACTGGAATAGACACTTATTCTGGATATGAATTTGCCTGTCCTGCATGCAATGCTACTGCCAAAACAACCATCCAAGGACTGAGAAAATACTTTATCCACCATCATGGTACCCCACATAGCATTTTTTTGATCAAAGAACTCACTTCATAGCACAAGAAGTATGGCAAAAGGCCCAAGCTCATGGAATTTACTGGTCTTTCCATGTCCCCCACCATCTTGAAGCAGTTGGCTTGACAGACTAGTGGAATGGCCTTTTGAAGACTCAGTTGAAGTAACCTTTAGGCAGCAATATTTTGCAGGGCTGAGACAAGATTCTCCAGAATGTTGTATATGCTCTGAATCAGCATCTAATATATGGTGCTATTTCTCCCACAGCCAGGATTCACAGGTCCAGGAACCAAGAAATGGAGGTGGAAGTGAGATCACTCAATATTACCCTTAGTAGCCCACTAGCAAAATTTTCTGCTTCCTGCTCCCATGACAGACCATGCTTTGCTGGCCTAGAGGTCTTAGTTCCAAAGGAAGGGATGCTTTCACCACGAGACACAACAATGATTCCATTAAACTGGAAGCTAAGACTGCCATCTGGCTGCTTTGGGCTCCTTAGGCCTCTGAATCAACAAGCAAAGAAGGGAATTACTGTGCTATCCAGGGTGAATGATCCTGACCACTAAAGTGAAATTTCCTCCACAATGGAGGCAAGGAAGAGTAAGTCTGGAATACAGGAGATTCTTTAGGGCATCTCTTACCATGCCCTGTGATTAAGGTCAATGGAAAATTACAACAACTTTATCCAAGCGGGACTAATGGCCCAGAGTACTAAATGAGTTTTATATTACCCCACTACTTTAAGAACTATGACCAGCTGAGGTGCTTGCTGAGGGAAGAGGAAATGTGAAATGCTAGTGGAGGAAGAATTATAAATAACAGTTATGTCCACCTAAGTTGTTTAAGCAAATATCTTTGTTTTCTTCCCTGTCTTATTCCTATATCGTCTAACATAAAATGTATTAAAAGTTAACTATGTTATAGTACTTGAGTTACAGGATATCAAGAAGAGGAGTAAACACTACCCAAGGATTTTGCATCCTCTACTAGGGAAGGAATTGACACATTTTGGGTTGTTTGTAGGACAGCTGCATTATGTTGGGGAGAAGTGTGACTTTGTTACTTTATTATAGATTAAATATGGTTTAAGGAGAGGTATATTATTACAAAGTTGACATGAAGTAGACTGTGATAGTTAATTGTATGTGTCAACTTGGTTAGGCTATATTAACCAATTAAATTAAATATTAATTTTGGTGTTGCTGTGAAGGTAATTTGTAGATAAGGTTAACATCTATAATAATGGACTTTAAGTAAAGGAAATTAGGTAGACCTCATCCAATCAGTTAAAAGGCCTTAAGAGCAAAACTGAGGTTTCTCTGAGAAAAAAGAAATTCCTCATAAGGACTGCATCATCAGCTCCTACTCAAGACTTTCTAACCCACCCTACAGTTTTCAGCCAGACTCTACAACTGCCTAAGTCAATTCCTTAAAATAACACATATGTATATGTGTATATATATGAATATGTATATATGTGTAGATATATTCTACTCTTCTGCTTCTTTGGGAAAACCCTAACTGACATGGCATCTACTATTCCTTATCACCATTCTAATGTCATCAGAGACAGAGATTAAAACAAAATCTATTATGTGGTTTCTGTCTTTGAAAATTTCCTAACCTGAAGAATAGGAAAATTAGCATTGTGAATTATGTGACGTGGTAATATGTTAGTAAGTGTCAAATGAGTAGCACTGAATAAAGTATTCAAGGAACTTAGGGGAAAAGAGAAGACCTCTGTGAACTTAAGGAATGCTGAGGGAAGGCTCTGTGGCAGAAATGGGGACAAGGAGCAAAAGACAGTTTAGTTGGACTGAAGTTGTGCATAATCCATTAAATTTCAATTGTTTAACTGCTTTCTTATTCATAAAAGTTCCCAGGCTCCAATGACTAATCAGACATCCTGTCTGATATACAGTTAGGAGAACAGAAAAATATAAACTTGGAGTTTAAAAGCCTTGAAAGATTGAATTCCTTGCAACTACCAGCAGTATGATCTTAGACAAATTGCATACCACTTTAAGCCACGGATTCTTCACATATAAAATGAGGGTAATAGTACACATCTGCTTATTATAAAGCCATAGTAAGAAATAAATGAGATATAATAAGATATTTAGCTCTCAGTACCTTTTACAGAGGAAGTTCTCAACCAATGATAAGTGAACGCAAAAATATTTGAAAAGTATTTTCACAAAGTATTTTCACTTTTCACTAAAGGTGAGACCCAACAACACTAAATTTCAAACAGTTGTAAGAAAAAGTAATCCTAGATAAATACATTTCAATCAATGGCATAAGCTAATTTTTCAAGATTAAATATCTGACATTCAAAAAAATATTTTACTGAAGTTCTAAAACCTAACCAAACTTTTTGTAATTTTACCATTTTCACTTTGTACGAGAACTTTCAGAGTACAGTTTACAAGTGTACTTCCTGTGTGCATAAAGAATTTACAATGAAAAAATGTTTTATATCATCCAAAAACTAGGCTCTACATTCACACAATAGTACCTTGGGGAATATCTTTAGGTGCAGAATATTTCTTCTTCTTTACAATAACATCTTTACTTTTCACTTGTCTAGTTCCTGGTGTTGCTCTAATAATACAACATATTTCTGAAGTATTTGAAGGAAACTAAAAAAGAAAAAAAAAGCAGATAGTGCATAATTCTTTTAGGTACTATAGGTATACATTGTTTTATTTCAAAGCAAATCGTTTCAACATCCATATTTCATACATATTAATGATAGGAAACATTTGTGAAATGCTTACTCCACTCCAGACATTCATGAATTGGTTTTTAAGCATTTGCTTATTTAATACTCACAAGAACCAGAAACAGCAGATTATATCATCCTCACTTGTAAAATGAGGAAATGTAGGTTCAGAGAATTTACATACCTTATCTAAGGACACAGAGAAAGTAATGATAGAGTTGAGATTCAAGCATTCCAAAGTGCAAGAGAGCAAATTTACATGATTTACTGAATTAAAACACAAATTTATTTTAATTCTGAGCCAAATACTAGATTCCTTGATTTCCCAACTCAATGAATTTTTTTAAAAAGTTTTTATTTATTTATTCATAGAGACACACACACAGAGAGGCAGAGACACAGGCAGAGGGAGAAGCAGGCTCCACGCAGGGAACCCGAAGTGGGACTCGATACCCCGGGCTGCAGGCAGCGCTAAACCGCTGCGCCACAAGGGCTGCCCCCAACTCAATGAATTTTGACAACTGCCCATTAAACAGAAAGACTCTAGAATAAAGAAATAGTGTATTTTCCAAAAGTGACATATCTAGTTTCTTAGAACTCAGAAATAGACATATGTATTTACCAAGGGCCCTTCCCATTGTAAGTAAAGCCTATATAGAAACAACTTCTACTATAAAATCTATATCATTTTCTGTGGTGGGCATCTGCTATTTTCCTGCCCAGCATCATTTCTGTTCTTCTGAACAGAACCAGAGTTTTCTTGGGAGAATCTACCAAAGCTGTACAGATGGCAAGTAAGCATGTTAAAGGATGTTCCATATCATATTTCCTCATCAGGGAGATGCAAATTAAAACAGCAATTGGATACTACCACACACCTATTAGAATGGCCAATATCTAAAATACTGACAATAGTAAACCTTTATTCAAACTCATAGAATACACAACACCAAGAGTGGAACCTAAGGTAAACTATGGACTGTGGGTGATTATAATATGCCAATGTAGATTCATCCTTGGATTAAAAAAAATGTCACTGGGTACATGGTTGATAATGGTGATGGCTATGTATGTACTGAAGCAGTGATATATAAGAAATCTCTGCATGTCTCTCAATTTTGCTGCAAACCTGAAACTTATTTAAAAATTAAAAAAACATTTTTTAAGGAAAAGTAAACATATACAAATATATATATATACCATGTTAACGACAGTCAAAAGAAAGCTAGATATAATAGCTATATTAATATCAGAAAAAGTAGATTTATATGCAAAGAATATTACCAGGAATAAAGAAGATCCATCATAATGAAGAAAGGGTGAATTAATCAAGAAAACCTAACAACCATAAACAATTCTAATTGTTTACATACCTAGTAATAGAGCCTCAAAATATATAAAACAAAAAGGGTAGAAATAAAAGGAAAAATAGACAAATCCACCATCATAGTCTAATATTTTAATACCTCTTAATAATTGATAGAATAAATAGGCAAAAAATCAGCAAAGGTACAATTGATTTGAACAGTACTACCACTCAACCTGATGCAACTGATACTGTAGATCATTCTACTAAAAAAAGAATATGCATTATTCTCAAGTGTTGTAGAGCATATACCAAAATAAACCAAATAGATTATAAAACATATCTCAATAAAGGCATACATACAAAGCATACAAAGAATGGTCTTAGACCACAATGGGATTAAATTTAGCAATTAGTAACTGAAAGATCTCTGAAAATTTTCCAAATATGTAGACAAAAAATAGCATACTTCCAAAGGCCATGGATCCAAGAATAAACAGATATGGCAAGTGGAAAGTATTTAAACTGCATGAAAATGAAACTACAGCATATAAAAACTTGTGGGATGCTGCTAAAGCAGTAGTTGAAGCGAATAAGTAACATTAAGTATCTACCGTAGAAAAGAACTCAGCTTCCACATTAAGAAAGTAAAAGTAACAAAACCAAATTTAAACCCAAAATAAGCAGACAAAAGAAAATAATATGAAAGCAAAAAATCAATGAAATATAAAATAGAAAAACAATAAAGCGGGGCACCTGGTTAAGCATCTGACTCTTGATTTCACTCAAGTCATGATTGCAGGGTCATGAGATCAAGCCCCACATTGGGCTCTGCACTCAGCATGGAGTCAGCTTGAGATGCTCTCTTTCTCTCTCCCTCAGCCCCTCTCCCTGCTCATGCTCTCTCTGAATAACTAAATAAGTAAAATCTTTTTAAAAAAAAGAAAAGAAAAGAAAAACAATAGATAAAAATCAATGAAACCAAACTTCTAGCCAGATTAATGTGGAAAGAAAAAAGAGGACAAAAATTACCAATATCAGTAATGAGAAAGGCTATATCACTACAGATACCAACATATTAAAAGGATAATCAGGGAATAATATAAACAACATTTAGGAATAAATTTGACAAATAATAGAAAACGGACAACTTTCTTGAAATACACAAACTAACAAACCTCACTCAAGAAGAAATAGGTAAGCTGAATAGCCCTAAAGAGATTTTTAACTGCAGCTTACTTCCTTCCAAAAGAGAGAACTCCAGGCCTAGATGGCTTCACTAAACATCTAAGGCAGAAATAATACTAATTCTTTTCCAGAAAATTGAAGATGAAGGAGTACTTCCCAACTTGTTCTATGAGGCTAGCATTACTCTCATGCTAAACTCAGCATGCTAAATATCAGATACATAGATAGATAGATAGATAGATAGATAGATAGATAGATAGAACTACAGACTCTCATGAACACTGATGGAAAAATTCTAAAATATTTTTAGCAAATCAAATACATCAATACATAAAAAGAAAAATATACCTTAACTAAGTGGGATTTATCATGGGATGCAGAGTTGATTTAACATTAGAACATAAATCAGAGTATTATATTCAATTCATAATCATCATCAATTCACCATATTAACAAACTAAAAAAGAAAAATCCTGGGCAGCCCGGGTGGCTTAGCAGTTTAGCACTGCCTTTAATCCAGGGTGTGATCCTGGAGACCCAGGATTGAGTCCCATATCGGGCTCCCTGCATGGAGCCTGGTTCTCTCTGCCTGTGTGTCTCTGCTTCTTTCTCTCTGTGTATCTCTCATGAATAAATAAATAAAATCTTTTTTTTAAAAAAAAAAAGAAAAATCCTATTACCACCTCAATAGTTACAAAAAGTGCATTCAGCAAAAATCCAACATCCATTCCTGATAAAAACTTTTAAGCATAATAGGAATAGATGGGAACCTCCTCATCCTAAGAAAACCTTATAGCTAAGATCATATTTAATGGTGAACTACTGAATGCTCCCCCCTAAAGTACAGAAACAAGACAAGGGTGTCTGCTCTCCCCACTATCTCCCAGCATTGGACAGGAAAACCTAGTCAGTGAAATTAGGCAAGAAAAAAAAAAAAGGCATCCAGATTAAAAGGCAGAGGTAGGGGTGCCTGGGTGGCTCAAGTGGTTAAGGGTCCACCTCTTGATCTTGGCTGAAGCCATGATCACAGAGTGGTGAGATTGAGCCCTGTGCTGGGCTCCACGCTGATCGCAGAGTCTGCTTGAGATTCTCTCCCTTTCCCACTGCACCTCTCCCTACTCCTTGTCTCCTTTTCTCTAAAATAATTAAATAAATAAAATCTTTTTAAAAATCCTTTTTTCGGGGATCCCCGGGTGGCGCAGCAGTTTAGCGCCTGCCTTTGGCCCAGGGCGCGATCCTGGAGACCCCGGATCGAATCCCACGTCGGGCTCCCGGTGCAGGGAGCCTGCTTCTCCCTCTGCCTATGTCTCTGCCTCTCTCTCTCTCTCTGTGTGTGACTATAATAAATAAGTAAATAAATAAAAAATAAATAAAAAATTTTAAAAAAATCCTTTTTTCCCCCACAGACAACATAATTGCCTATGGCATCATGGAAACTTGTAGGGGTGAGAACTACTAGAAATAATAATTAAGTTTAGCAACTTTGCAGTACACTTGTTATGAATGGAATGTTTCTGTCCCCACAAAATTCATATGTTGAATCCCTAATTCCCAATGAAACTGATTTTAGAGATAGGCTCTGTGAGAAGGGGATAAAGGTTAATTGAATTAAGAAGGGCAAAGTCCTAATCTGAGAGTGCTGGTGCCCTTTTAAGAGGAGGAAGAAATATAAGAGCTCTTTTAAACTTCACACAGAGAGAGAAAGGCCATGTGAAATCATAGCAAGAAGATGAAAATCTACAAGTCAGAAGAAAGCCTTTCCAGGACTTGAATAAGTTAACATCTTGGTCTTGGACTTACCAGACTCCAGGATTGTGACAAAATAAATTTCTGTTGTTTAAGCCGCCCAGTCTATGGTATCTTATTATCGCGACCCAAACAGACTAATAATAATGATCAGTACATACACACACAAAGTATTTCTATATGCTAGCAATTAATAGTCAGATATTGAAAAAGAATACCATTTGTAATAGTATCAAAAATATAAAATACTGTCATCAGGTGGGAAATAATGACATCAAGTAAGAATAAAGACCCAAACAGTGAAAATTACAGAATAATTTGGAGAGAAATTAATTAAAGAAGTCCTAAAAAACGGATGGCTATACATTGTTCTTGAGTTGGAAGACTCAATATTGCCATGATATCAATTATCCCCAAATTAATCTGTAGATTCAATGCAATTCTAATCAGAATTCCACAGGATTTTTTTTGTTTTGGTAGAAATCAACAAGCTGATTCTAAAATTCATATAGACAAGCAAAGGACTTAAAGTAACCAAAACAATTGAAAAAGAAGAACAAAGTTAGAGGCTAACATTAATTTCAAGAATTATTATAGTGCCTCATTATCCAATGCTCTGTGGGACTTACACAAAGATAGACAACAGTATAATCTTATACAAACTCATACAAATCCATGGATAACCATTTTTCAACAAATGCGGAAAGGCAATACAGTGGAAAAAGAATACTCAACAAATGTTAGAATAATTGAATGTCTGTATGCAAATACATAAACAAACTTGAATCTGTACCTCACACCATAAGCAAAAAATTAACTCAAAGGCATTAGTGTAAAACTTTAAAACTTCCAGAAGAAAACCTAGGAAAAAAATCTCTGTGACACTGGTTTAGGCAAAGATTTCTTAGATATGACAACAAAGGCATCTCATAAAAAAATAAACAAAAAAATTGACAAGTTGGACTTCATCAAAGTTAAAAATTATGTTCTTTAAGGGACGCTCTTTTGCAAGAAACTACATCTTATATGATTCCATTTATAACAAATGTCCAGGAAAGTTTACTCTAGACACAGAAAGTAGATTAGTATTTGCCTAAATACTGAGCATGAGAACAGGGCTTAACTGTAAATAAGTGTGAAGGATTTGAAGTGTTCTAAAACTGACATATGTAATTGTTGCACTATGCCATAAATATACTAAGAATCACAGAACTGTAAACTTGAAATGGGTGAATCTTATGATATGTAAAATACACAAAAAAGTCTGCTTTTTCATTAAAAAAAAAAAAGATAGTGGAGGGGCACCTGGGTGGCTCAGTTGGTTACGTATCTGCCTTTGGCTCAGATCATGATCCCAAGGTCTTGAGATCGAGCTCTGCATCAGGCTCCCTGATCAGTGGGGAGCCTGCTTCTCCCTCTCCTCCCTGCTTGTCCTCTCTCTCTTGCTATCTCTGTCACTATCTCTGTCTCTCTTTCAAACAAAAATAAATAAATAAATAAATAAAATCTTTAAAAATAAAATCTTTAAAAAAAGTGGAATGGATAAAAAGACAAGGTATGGACTGGGAGGATATCTTTCAAAGCATATATCAGATAAAGGATTTACATCAAGAATATATAAGGAACACTTCAAATTCTACAAATAAGAAAATCATTTTTTAATGTGCAAAAGATATGAACAGGTATGTCACCAAAGTAAATATATAGATGACAAATAAGCACATAAAAATGTGATCAACATTATTGGTCATTAGGGAAATGCAAATTAAAACCACGGTAAGATATCACTTTATACTAATTGGAGAGGTTAAAGTTAAAAGACTGACCATACTAAAGGTTAAGATTAACTTAACTAAAGGTTCAGATTAAAAGATTGACCAAACTAAATGCAGATGAAATGTTGATGTAGAGAAACTACAGGTCTCAAACATTGTTGGTGGAAATGTAAAATGGTAATACCACTTTAGAAAACAGTTTGGAAATATCCTAGGCACATTACCCAATAAGAAAGGAAATATACATCCATACAGTTAAAGAAGAAATTATACAGTAAGATTTTATTCAAAATTTTACAATAGAGTTCATTCATTATGTTGTTATAGCTGAAACTAATGTAAGATTGCATGTCAACCATACTTTTTTTAAAAAGACACTATAATAGGGTATTATAATAGGGGAGAGAAATTGGACTCAAATCCAAATACAGCAAATACAGCTAGATGAAAAGAATGGAGGTCTCAGTGGTTAAAAATTACTATGAGAAGACATCAAGTGTAAAGAGATTCTTGTTAGACTGACCTTGTGATATCGTGATTTTTAAAAAAAGATTTATTCATCTATTTTTATTTGAGAGAGAGAGAGCATGAGCCAGGGGTGGGGGAGAAAGAGAGAGAGAGAATCTCCAGCAGACTCCCCACTGAGCTCAAGCCCAATACAGAGCCTGATCTTAGGACCCAAGCTGAAATCAAGAGTCAGCCACTCAACTGAATGAGTCATCCAGGGCCCTGATATTGTGATTTTTAATAAGAAAAATAGATTTGGTTTTCACTTCCATTGACAGCATGGAGCTCCTAAAACCCTGGGAATTTCCTAAGTGATAAGAGCAATAAAGGTGTTTCTGTTAATGTGATAGAACTTTTGGAATGCACCTAAGGGTGGGGACTGGTTGCTAGGCGAATCAATCCTGGATTAGAAGATTGAAACTTTCAGGCCAACCTCATAACCTCCAGATAGGGTAGAGGGGCCAGAGACTTACTCAGTTGCCAATGGCCAATGATTTAATCAACTGTACCTATGTAATAAAGCTGTCACCAGCTAGACTCTAAGACACAAACTTTATTGCCCACCTGCTTGTAGTCACCAACCTTTGTTCCACATTCTCCCTTAATCTCTTTTTCCAGTTTATCTCTTAACCCAGGCAAAGACCTAAGGGGCATAGGATCCTGAGATGGAAACCCAAACTACCCCTCCAACAATAATGACTGCCTGGAAGAAAAGCTTCCATGGCCCAAGCCACCCAGACCAGTTTGGGCTTAGCTCCCTTCCCTGACTCATGTCTACACAGATAAACTGTGGAATGACCAATGTAATGATGGACAATTACCTTTACCTCGTTATAATGCTAAAATCTCTGCCCAAGGAGGAGCACCAGCCTTATTTACATAACATACATTGTATATATAGGCGTGTCCCCTTAAGACACATGTGCCACCTTGTGCCTCCCTCTACATATGATGACAAGACTCTGCTATCTAAATATTCATCCTAACCCTAAATAAAATTAACCCATTCACCCTTGCTGGGGAGTCACAGCTTTGTAAGTTATACTTCACAATCTCCTTATTCACTGCAAATAGTTTCCTTTGTGGGACAACTCTACCTGGTATAGTTTCTACATGTGACTTTCAAGAAGAGAACCTATGTTAGTTTGGTTACAAAGCCTCCATAAAATCCCAAAAGAATAAGGGTTCAGAGAGTATCTGGGTTGATGAAAACAAGGAGATTCAAGGAGAATGGTGACCTGCAAGAAAGCATGAAAGCTCTTTGCCCTTTCTCTATACCTTGCCCTATACATCTCTTTCATGTGGCTATTCCTGAGTTATATTTTTTATAATATACCAGTAATATAGTAAGTAAAAGGTTTTCTGAGTTCTCTAATAAATAAATAGAATCCAAACAGGGGGTCATGGGAACCTCTGATTTATAGGCAGTTAGTCAGAAGTAAAGGTAACAATTTAAATGTGCAAGTGGCATCTGAAGTGGAGGATGGTCTAGTGGAACTAGCCTTTTACCTGTTGGAATCTGATGCTATTTTCAGGTAGATAGTGTCAGAATTGAGTTGAATTCTAGGACACCCAGCTGATGTCAAACATATTACTTGCTGGAGGTATGGCAACTCCCTCAAGTTATGCCTTTTTCTCTTACTCTATCCTTCTGTTACTCTCTCTGCTCCCACAACCCATCTCTCTGGTTCTTTCTTTCTTTCCACCCCACTTCCTATTCTCTCTTTTACTGCTCATCCTCTATGGCTCTTAGTTTTATGAATTTTATTTCTTCTTTTTTAATCGAGCAATGTACTTCCATGTATTTATCCTAACAATGAAATTGGTGATCACAATTTAAATGTACAGATGAAAACAGAGTTTTGGATAAAAGGAGGCTAACAATGTTTCCTCTAGTTGTTTAATAGCCTCAAGTCCTGGGGCATCTGGGTGGCTCAGTCAGTTAACTGTCTGCCTTTGGCTCAGGTCATGATCGAGTCCTGGAATCAAGTCCTGTGTGCATCAGGCTCCCTGCTCAGTCAAGAGTCTGTTTCTCCCTCTACCCCTTATCCTGCTTGTTCTCTCTTTGTCTCTCTCTCTCTCTCTTACTCTCTGTCTCTCAAATAAATAAATAAAATAAAAAAAAATAGCCCCAAGTCCTGACAATGTTCAGGCTGTGGCAGCCTAATAGCCTTTATTTAGAATTGTAACTGATGGCTGCCTCCTCATGTGGATGATGTCAGCCTCAAATTACAGACTTCTTAAAGTATCCCATACACAAAGTATTTAATATAACAGTAATCATTTATGTTAGTAATTAAAGAAGAAATTGAAAATACCTCATCTGAAGAGTTTTCTTGCAAATTTGAAACAGGAACAATTTCATTTGAATTAACATAATTGCTGACATTTGGAAGTAGTTCTTCAAAAGATGCTTTCTGCACTGAGGACAAATCAATCTATAAAAAAAATGTTACTCTTATAGAAGTCAAATGTGGCAGAGACAATTATTTTTACATAATTAAAGTTGAAATACTATCTCATTAGAAGCATTTTCTTGCAAAAAAGTTCAGAGTTTCTTTCTGAGGTGATAAAAAGATCTAAAATTGACTGTGGTGATGATTACACATACTTGTGAATATACTAAAAAACACTGAACTTCACACTCTAAATAGGTGAATTGTATGATATGTTAATTATATTTCAATAAAGTTGTTTTTTAAAAGCCCACTACAAAAAAAGTGTTAAACATGCAGTTACCATGTGACTCAGCAATTCTACTTCCTCTTCTAGGCATATACCCAATACAAATGAAAACACATATTCACACAAAAACTTGTACATGAACATTCATAGCAATATTATTCTTTCAAATGCCCCCAAACTGACAAATCAGGAAACAAAATATGGTATATCCTTACCATGGGATATTATTCAGCCATAAATAAGCGAGAAAGTGCATATTATAAAATGGATGAACTTTGAAAACATTATGTTAAGTGAAAGAAGCCAGACACAAAGGCCACGTATTATACAATTCCATTTATATGAAATAGCCAGAATAAGGAAACTTGTAAAGAACCCTTTTTCCCAGCTTGAAAAACTGATCTTTGGTTAATTCTCATGCTCTGTTTCACTAGGAACCTGATAAAGTTAACAATGCCAACATTGCTAGTGGTAAAAATGATGTCTGAATGATAAACTCTAGGTAGACTAGGAAGAACTGTAAATGCACTATGAATCAATGATAAACACGCTATATGTAAATAAAGTCTACAAAAAGCACCATAGTTTGGATTTCCCTGACTTATAATTTGGAGAGTCTCTTGTGGGGACCCTGGAAACTATGTCTGTGTGCTATTACAAAGGATACTGGACCTCATCTTCTTATATCTGAGCTGCTAAATAAACTGCTCCATGGACTTCTGTGAAGACTAATCCCACTGAAGAGGAACACCTGTTTCTGCCCTGCTTGTGAGTTATATTCCTTTTGTTTACTTGAACCTAAGAAGAATTCTAGTTGGGTGAGAAATATTTAAACCATTACAAAGCAGCATTTTTTGCACTGGCCAAAAGGTGGAAGTAACCCAAATGTCAACAGACAGATGAATAGATAAAAAAACATATATACACACAATGAAATATATTCAGCCTTTGAAAAGGAAAAAAATTCTGACACATGCTACAACATGAAGACACTATGCTAAAAGAAATCTATCACAAAAGGACAAATACTGTATGATTCTATTTATATGAAGTATCTAAAGCAGCCAGATTCACAGGAGGAAGGTAGAATTGTAGTTGATAAGGACTGAGGTATGGAGAAATGGGGACTTAGTGTTTAATTGTATAGAGTTTCAGTTTTGCAAGAAGAAAAACTTTGCAAGAAATTTAGCAGGGCACTGAGGTGGGCACTTGACGGGATGAGCACTGGGTGTTATTCTGTATGTTAGCAAATTGAACACCAATAAAAAATAAATTTATTTTATAAATAAATAAATAAATAAATAAATCCAAACCAACTTAACTCTTAAAAAAAAAAGTGATGGTTCCATAACATGTGAATGTACTTGAACTGTACAATACAAAAGAGTTAATATGGTAAATTTTAGGGGTGCCTGGATATCTCAGTAGGTTAAGTGTCCCACTCTTGATTTTGGCTCAGGTCACGATCCCACAGTTGTGAGATGGAGCCCCAAGTCAGGCTCTGCATTGAGAGCAGAGCCTGCTTAAGATTCTCTCTTCCTCTCTCTCTGCCCCTCCCCCACCCCACTTGCGCACATGTACTTTCTCTCAAAAAAAAAAAAAAAAACATTGTTAAAAATAGAGTATTTTACATCACCTGCATTTTGCCACAACAACAACAACAACAAATGAAACCAAACAAACCAAACCCTGGTTGGTACTGCAGTATTCTACTCTTTCTCTAATGTACAGCAATATATAGAGTACTTCCAATGAAAGCATGTCTATACAACAGAAAAACACAGACTTTTTTCCCTTTGTAGAATATTCCCCTGGTGTGATAGAAACAGAATAGCAAGGAGGAGGGGGAACCAAGACATAGATGCTACAAGTACCAAAGGCTAATACTTACCACCAAACCAGCAGTTTTCGAGGATGGAGTACTTGTTAAGAGGCCTCTGCTTTTCTTACCAGGAGTACTAGAATTTGTTCTCTATCAATGTTTTGTGAAATAGGGGATTCAACAGCAGAAATAAATAAACTAATTCAATACAGTAAAAACACAACATCAAATTAGTAGACTAGGTCATAATGTGCCATACTAATACAATTTTAATGTGCCATTTAAATTTTAAATCATTAGACAAGTAGCTAAAAAATTTTCTGGCTTGAGCTAGGTCAAGCAACTCCTAAGAGTTCTGCATAGCACAAGAACTATACAAGAATACTTTGGGTGAAATCACTCTTTTTTTTTTTAAATCACTCTTAATAGTAAGATAAGCTAATTAAAGTTTTGAACTAGGAAATGGTGCTTCAATTATCTTTCTTAACTATTAAGAAAAGTGTTTTAATTTTAGCATTTGTTTAATTGCTAATATATTATTATACTTTTTATGGAAAGGGATTATAAGTTATTTGTGAAGCTGTTAAAACATATATAATAAGGGTAATTGGTTTAAAATACATACATTTAAATATATAGAGATACTTCCATTTATGTAATATCAAAGTTAGAGAAATTATAAAGATTCATTTTCTATTTTTTTAATTTTTTAAAAATTTGTATTTAAATTCATTTTGCCAACATTCATTTTCTATTTCTTGAAGATGCAAAGAGGCAGAGAGAGAGACAGATGGACAAATCAAGAAAGAGTGAGAGAGCAAGAGAAAGACAGGATCAGAAACCTAAAAGTTAGAGGGAGGGAAGGGGAAAGGAGAAGAGGAAGGAAACAGAAAGAAAGGGAGAGAGGGAGGATAAGGAGACAAAAGAGAGAAAGACTGACAAGAGAGAAGAAAGGAGAAGACAGATGGAGACGATGGAGACCAATAGACTATGAACAGAAAGAGACTGGCAGAGAAACAAAGACAGAGAAGGAAAGATGGAGATCAAGACAGAAGAGAGACAGAGCTTGAGGCAGAGAGACAAAAATCAGAGAACAAGTCAAACAGGCAGAGCAGTGAAACAGAGTGACGGAGATACTCAAAAAGAGAGAAGACCGATAACTATTTCTAGCAATCAGCTGTCTCTTCAACTTTTAGATTCCAAGAAACAACCAGTCCCTCTGATAAATCTCTTTGAATAGGTATTTATTATATGCTGGCAACTTTGGAACAAAACTCAGAACTTCACATTATAGGAAAGTTTATGTTAGGTTTCTTTTTTCTTTCTTTCTTCATTTCTTTCACATTTCCTTTCCTTTCCAGATTAATGTCTCTTAAACTAGTTGTTTGTTCAAGATGTAATACGGGATTATTAGGAAAATTTTTATCAAAAAAAATTTTATGGGTATATTTACCTAGTACACTGAATATGTCAGCTGTCTAATATATTAGTTATTTAATCTTTTAACTTCTTCATCTGAACAATGGAGATTATTCTACCCCTAGGGATTGTTGTGCAAAGATTACAAATAATATATGTAAAGAGAACCTACGGTGCCTATAGAGTAGGAGATACACAGTGATTGCTATTATTTACCATTGTGGCTGCCATGGAGGTGCTCTGGTCAGACCTCCTTGAACAAAGGAGCTGCTGTTAGCTGACAGCTACTTGCCTCCTCCACCCCCCAGCCCCTGCCCCGCATTGCAGCTTTTCTGGAATCTGCTTCAGCTTTCAGGTTGAGGCCATCATCTTCTCAGGCAACCCTCAGCCAACGTTTGAGCATAGGAATCAATGTAAGAATCCTGTAATGGATCATCTTTGCTCCAGATCTCACAGTGGGAGTGCTTTTGGCAAAGGGCTGAGACTATTCCTGCCCAATGCTGCTTTCTTCTTGTTCCTTTCTCTGGTATCGGTCCCTCCAGTATACTACTTGAACTCAATTCTGTCTGAATATCTTCTCCCCAGTGATCCCAAGAGACACAGTTGTTAACTGACAATCCATTAAAAATAATCTGCCTGTATATAGCTGTAAATATAATGTTCTCTGCATTTTTTCCTTGATTTGTTAAGAAGTTATGTATATCTAAATCTTCCCAATAAGTACATTTTCTTGATATAGGCTCATCAAGAATTAGTTAATAGAAGGTCAGTGCTTACCAATGCAGGTTCCAGGGGCTGAGAAAATGGAACTTTGGTAATTGATCTACCTGCGTTGGTTTCAATAACAGACCTCTGGTGAGATGAAGGAATCTTGATTTTTAGATGATGAAAACTCAACTTTGTTTGAAAATTTGTATCTCTAGGTTCAGGACCTTTTTCAGGCTGAAACAAATTCATAATCATGAAATGCACTCTACAATACTATAAAAACATTTGTAGCACTTCTCAGATGTATTATTTTATTGTGATAAAAATGTTATAATTATAAGTAAAATAGGGCATATATAGAAATCATATACACATATAAATTTATATATATAATTCTATCATTATTCCCTCAACTTGAAAAAGTTTTCAACTTAAAGATAAATATTTTTGTAAAAAACGTAAGGCTTTCTATACATTAAAAAATAAAATCTATTGAAAGACAAAACAACTTAAAATACACACAACTCAAAAAATTTCCCTACCACGTTTAAAGTAGTATCTCCCAGTGTTCTGTAAAAAAATTTGATAGAGATCTATCTGTCATTAGTTAAAACTAAATTTTAGAAAAAACATCAAATACATTTGCAAATACATTTGTAAATGTATTTATTATGTAATAATCTTCATTTAAGAGACCAAAAGTACTCTCTAAGACATCAGGAAGCTGCAACTACAAGAAAGTGTGCTGCTTTACCAATTAATCCCTGCACTGAAAATTGTAGACTGCTGAGTGACTACTTGTCCTATGTACCTTGTTCAGGGCTTCTGAGATGTATTTATTCCCAGTTTACATATATTCAATATAACTGAGAAGACGTGATTTGAGTTGAGTCCTGAAAGAATGACAGTATTTTGAGTTGCAGCTGAGGGTATAAAGAGAAGGTAGAGAGAAGGGAGGTAGAGGAAGGAAGGAAAAGAAGGAAAGAAGGATAGAAGGAAGGAAGGGAGGCAGCCAGCCAAGGAACTATCAGGTTCATTCTAAGCAAAGAAAAGAGTAAAGGTATGCAGCAAAGAGCAAAGTACTTACGGGCATCTACTGGTCCATTTCTCTCATGTGTGCCTTGCACACAGCTATTTCTCTCACTCCTGTCATTATGCTCAGTAATTTCATTATGCAAGTTGATAATCCATCTAGCCAACTGGACTAGTTGCTTGACTTCTGCATTTTCAATAACCTTTTCCCCTCATGGGATTTTAGTCACTCTGTAATCAATATAGCTTTTTATCATCAACAGAAATTACAGAATCACTAATCTGGATAGTTTCTTATATCCTTCCAATCTCTGTTCAATTATATTCATGATCTAAACTCCTCCCTCAATGAAATCTCCAACTGACTGAGCCTACCATTTATCTTCATACATTATCGTTCTCCTATAATTCCTTCCTCATCTACCACCATCCATCATTGTCATTATCCCTTTCTCCTTCTATCACAGGTGTCTGACAAATCCCCAATGCCAGATGACTCCTCACATCAATATCCTCTATATGTCCACTGCAACTAAGTGCTGGGAAAATCATGCAGTCAGGCATATCACAGTCACCACAAACTCAAAAGGAGCAACCACAGAGTGGCAATTCTTCTACACTTCTCTAGCTTCTCATGATTATTTCATTCTCATCCCATTTTCCTTAAACCTCTAGCCTCCCCTCTACCATTCTCAACTGACAGTCTTACCTCACACTGCCCCACAACAATAGAAGCAATCAAACAGATGTGACCACTTAGGACTCAATTTTGGGTGCCTGGTACAAACTAAAAATGTGAGGCCTTTTGTTTTTTAAAAAAAAAACTATTAAAACTGTCAAGGCAAAAAAAAAACTATCAAGGCAACAGAAGAGCATTAAATCCTTCTAAGCACAAAGTCATGTGCTACCATTACATTTACAAATACAGCACAATGGTAATATCACTCCTCTTTTACTTTTTTAAAAGATTTTATTTATTTATTCACAAGAGACACAGAGAGGCAGAGACATAGGCAGAGGGAGGAGAAGTAGGCTCTGTGCAGGGAGCTCGATGTGGGACTCAGACTCCAGGATCCTAAGACTCCAGGATCATGCCCTGAGCCAAAGGCAGATGCTCAATTGCTAAGCCATCCAGGCGTCCCAATCACTCCCCTTTTAAAGGCCAGTCCCCTTGTATTTTGGATCCCATCTTTCCTCATCTTTTCAAAGACTTCCCTTTTCCACATAATAGTATATGGAATTTGTTGAGATTTTCTTAAACTGCTTTATTGAGATATAATTCACATACCATAAAGCTCACCCATTTTTAAAAGTAAAATTCAACAGTTTTTAGTATATTCATTTTTAATTTTTATTTATTTTTTTATTTAAATTCTAGTTAACATACAATGCAATATTGGTTTCTGGAGTAGAATTCCATGATTCATCAATTACCTATATCACCCAGTGCTCATCACAAGAAGTGCCCTCTTTAATACCCATTAGACATCTAGCCCATCCTCCACCCCTTCCCTCCATCAACCCTCTGTTTGTTCTCTATTGTTGAGTCACTAACAGCTTGTTTCCTTCTCTCCTTTTTTCTTCGTTTCCCCCTTCCCATATATTCATCTGATTTCTTACTTAAATTCCACATATGAGTGAGATCATATAGTATTTCTTTCCCTGACTTATTTTGCTTAGGATGATACACTCTAGTTCCATCCATGTGATTGCAAATGGCAAGATTTCATCCTTTATGATGGCTAATATTCCATTGTGTGTGTGTGTGTGTGTACCAAATCTTCTTTATGCATTCATCAGTCGATGGATGTTTAGTCTCTTTCCATAATTTGACATGTTGATAACACTGCTAAAAACATTGGAGTGCACGTACTCCCTTAAATCTGTATTTTTGTATCCTCTGGGTAAATACCTGGTAATGCACTTGCTGGATCATAGAGTAGTTCTATTTTTAACTTTTTTGGGAGCCTTCAAACTGTTCTCCAGTGTGG